TTGAAGCTTTATATCCTGGTTTTGCCATTTGAGTGCATGTTACTCTATGAAAAAAATATTTGACCTCATATTTTGTAGTATTTGTTTTGTTTTGTTTTATTTTTGCACTGTCGATGATTCCTCATTCTACTGTACCGAAACAAGCACCGCCTCCTCTGAGAAAATGCCCCTGGCCCAAACCCACCACGGCAAATCTCAGAGGGAACCCTCCCACGGCCCAAACACAGTCCACACCTACTGCTTTTCCATGCTTTTGCAAACTGCTGATAATCATCTGCAATGGAAAGTGTGTGGGGGCTTGCAGGAAACCCTTCAACTACTGTGCCAGGTAGCCTAAACCTGAAACACACACATTAAAAACTGCACAAAGCAATTAGTCAACGCTTAAACGGAAAGACCCCAGCAAACACATAAAGAACATGACAGTTTAGAGCACGCTATGCTGCATTTATCTCCTTAATAGAAATCAAATGGGTCAGGTGGCAGTGAGGAACGCCAGTGTCTCGGTATGTTCCTGCCAACGAAATGAAGGGGAGAGGATCGTGGAGCCCTGCGGTCACACCACCTCGGTCTCCTCAAGCCAGCCGGAGGTCGGCCAGAGTGCACATACATTAATGGCCTTCCACACTAATTGCTTCTCACTTAGACAAATCTCTGCAAATCACGGGGCGAGCCGGCAGCGCTGCTGATGCCCCCCGGGAGAAGAGACGTCAGGCAGGCGGGCGGGAGAGAGCGAGAGGCAAGGGGGAGGAGGGAAGCGCCGCCAGGAGCGTGTGCGGTGTGGGCGCCTCTGAAAGGCAAGGGGGGGAAGCGATCCCTTGAGGGAGAGGGAGTAAGAAACAGAGAGAGGGAAAGAGAATAGATACATACATTGGCCTGGACACGCACACACACAAACACACACACATTTGCTCGGAGAGATTGGTCCAGGCTAGGCAGACCTTGCCAGCCTCAGCCCCCCTGATCCCCTGCAAACATGCTCAGATCTCCCCCCGCCTCCTCCAGCTCCCTATCTCGACGCTCAAACACCAGCCCAGGGAGGGGAAAGATGAAAAAAAGAAAAATCAATAGCACAGATGGATAGCCGGATAACAGGGTCCGGCATGCTCCGGCAGTGAGGCAATCCAGAGGGTGCCCTCACAACTTCCACAAGCAAAAATAAGAACAACATGAGCCTGTTCGAGAGAGAGAATTTGCCCTGAGAGCCTAATCACACCCCCACACCTGTGTTCCAGCCCTCATTTATCCAGCCTTCCCACACACACACCAACTAAAACACTCATTTATTTTCTGACCTCCGTCCTCCCTTCCTGTGTTTTTTACTCATCTTCATTAGGCCATCAACACTAAACTTCAGGAAATCAGATCATCTGCAGAGCTGACCAGGTTCATCAAGTCCCAAATATTAATTGATGCTCATCAGAAGAACACATTTAATAACTACAAATGATATGATGTTTGGGTGATTGAGCTGCATTAAAGCATTTCTCAATTTTGGAGCCAAAGACTCCTTATAACATGTACAATGTAAAGCGACCTTGAACTACCTTGCCTTTTATGATATCACCCAAAATGCCAAAATTACATAGGAAATCAATGCAAACAAGGGGTTAAATAACTAATATTCATTACAGCCTAATCAAATAACAGCTGAGCTCATGATTTGAAAAAAAATAAATAAATATATATATATATATATATATATATATATATATAGGATTATAGGTAGCGTTGTATTTTATTGTAAATTGGAAATATCCATCCATAAATTATTTATTTGAATAACAATATTATCAATATTATTATTAATAATATATAATAATTAAATTTGCATTTTGATTAAGATGAGTCAATTAACCTTTAATTGAATACAAAAAATGAACTTTTATATTAGTAGTAGTACTAATCAGATAGACAGATAGATAGATAGATAGATAGATAGATAGATAGATAGATAGATAGATAGATAGATAGATAGATAGATAGATAGATAGATAGATAGATAGATAGATAGATAGATAGATAGAACCAAACTGGTAACAGTTTGTCTTCTTGTAGATATATGGCAAAGGACTGCACTTGTTGGATATTGTATAGTCCAAGAAACACACTTCACAAGGTCCTCACCTCAGCACTACTACAACCATTTTCTGCATGAACATAACAATTAATGTCAAAGACCGTCATGACTGTACTGATGTCTGGCAAATTATCAGTTGTAATGAGTTAAATGAACACTAAGTGTTGTAATCAGAGAAAAGAGCCGGTTTCATTTAGACATTGATGTGTGTCATTCATAATGATGTCACAATGATGAAGCTCTTCGTAGACTGGGAGACAATGCATGCATCTTTAGCACCACCTAGTGATAAAAGTTTAAAGTCATTTTATGGCTAAGAAAGGCCAATTTTGACTTGCTCTGCCATTTAAAATTGGCCTTTCTAAGCCATAAAATGACTTTAAACTTTTATCACTAGGTGGTGTTAAAGATGCAAGTCTTTATACAAGCATAAAAATGTGCACATTGCTCAAACAAAAAGTATGTAACCTTGAAAAAAAATCACGTTTGTATAACTAAAAAATATATTTGAACTGAGATATCTTAAAATATGTCAATATGCCATTGTTTTGTCTCAAAATGCACATTTATTAAAGCTACTTAGATTTCCTAATTAAACTAAGGCCTAATCCTGGTTTAATCTAAGCCCTGTCTGTTAAACCAGGCCTATAAATAATAATAATAATAAGTAATAAGTACTGGGACAACATTGTACTCCAAATGCACTAGACTCTTGGTAAGAAAAGTGAGAGGAAGTAGAGAGTGAGTGCAGGTCAGAGTGCAGATGAGGACAGTTGCACATTTGTGGTCAATAGAAGTTGTCTCCGAGGTGAGGTGAACACCTCTGACATATATTTCCTCTGCTACTCTTAGGATATGATGCCTTCTGGTGGTCATACTGGGGCGTAACAGATGAACAAAACCAGCTCCTTACTTACAGAACATGCTAAACCAGCAATAATGACTTCCAAAAAGGAAGTTTCTATGATAAGATTCAACTTTCTTTTTCATAATATAAACAGTACTGTATAGGTATACAAATGAAATCCAAAACACAGTCGACTCCACGCTCCATATACTTCTATTCATAATCATGTGAACAAAGGCAATTGGAAACTAAATTTTGAAATTTCATCTTCCACTTCAAAAGTTCAGTTTTTTTTAAACTATGGCCTACAAATCCACAAACCACAAAAAAAAAAAAAACTGGCCAAAAGAGGATCTAGCTCAAAAAAAAAAAAAAAAAAGATTATTCAGCTAGTTTACAGTAAATCAACTGAGATGGGTAGTTATGTTCTAAATACTACTCAAATATTAAATATTACAACATTGTGCAATTCATCTGTTGGGCATGGTCGGTGAAAAAACCCCAATAACAAACTGTGATGGTTTCACGTAATTTACTATATTTGATAGTTACTAAAGCCTACTTTTTTATTATTTCCCGTCGCAAATCATGCAAGTAAAATCGAAATAATTTTCTATTTAGATACATTTTAACAGTAAGGAATAAAAATCAAATATGGTTATTTTAAATATTTACAAATATTTAAATACTATGAAAAAAACTCATTATCGCATCAGACGGCACTTCCTGTCTCATCACAGAACATCACAGATTGCTCACTACTGCACTATGTTGGTATGTATGTTTGACTGTTTAATAATAAAAAATAAAAAACTCATTATAAAGTAAATATCTTCCAGACCATATTTTAAATAGTTCTAGCTTTAGTACAGCAACAATATTCAATTAAAAAATATATTAGTATTATAAAAGTTAAAATATTCATCATTGATATTATTAACAATGATATAAACAACATCAGTAAAAGCAATAATAGTTAAAGAGATACACACTACTTTAGCCCTATAGCGGTCAAAAAACAAAACTGCATGCATTTTGTGGAAGAACATTGTTTTGGTTGTGCTTCAGCTCTGTGTGTCTGTGCGGATGAATATGATTCTTTCTCAGTAGAGGATTATCATATTGCTTATAAAACATTCACTATAGGCTTAAGATATTAAACCAGTTTAGATGGATATGAAAGATACACTATGACGTAACACCCATTAACAGACACTGTAAAGCTCCTTTCACACAGAGATTCCGGAAAATACACGGATAATGTGAACTGGTGTCGATTTTTGCTGCCTTGTCGAAAAATGCTACCGTAGCGCGAATTGATAACAGAATGCCAATTAAAGTCGTATGAAATACAATTATAATACAATTCTAAGTTATGAGTAGCTACTGTATCCTGTAGACTACTGTTTTTATTTTTAAAACGGTGTGAAAAGTAAAAATTATCATAAAATATTCATCTTTGACTTGTCAAAGTACACCTTTCCTCATAGTAACTGAAACTTTCAGTTATTCTTTTTCAGCTGGCTGACCGTACAAATATTCATATGGTAGTAAGCATTTTTAAAGTGAAATTATACATTATAACAGGAAAATGTACCTTTTGTAAAAAAAAAAAATAAATAAATAAAAATTGTGAGTCTGCACATGCGCATAACCGGTAAGTAGCAAATCTCGATGGGTAGCATGAATCGTCAGAACGCCGGCATTTGTCCCGGGATTGTTTGATTTCGGTTCATTCACACAGCCAGGAATTTGCCCACAACCCGTAAAGATCCCGTAAAGACAGATGACGTCAGGTTGAGACGTGTAACATACACATCGAACACATGTAGCAACAGCGCGTACGCTTGTGTTTGCGTTCACACAGAAGGCGTTCTAGCAATTTCCCGACAATTGCCCGGGATCAACGCGCTGTGTGAAAGGCACTTAAGTTAACTTCCTTGACAAAAATTCCAACACCCACAATGAAATGACCCATAAAGAAAATGACGTGCTTTGCAATGAACTCTGTTAGAGAGCTAAGCCCACATAACATTATAGCATTTTTTCTGTTGAATAAAATATGGTACTCACCTCTTGAGTAATAAAAACGCCATTTCTGCATCGCCTTTAAAACATTTTCAAATCCCACAGTTCTCACTATCTCAGCCGATGTTGATTCTCGTTTTATTTTGAGCTGTGAAAGTCGCCTTCTCTTCTTGACAGTAGACTGTCCTTCGTTCAGCGTTTTTTTTAACAGGTCTGTATTATAGAAATTTAATCAAGAATATAAGCTTTATGGACTTTCACAGGGGAGAAAGCTAACAACTAACGTTAGCTACCGTTATCCTAACTCCTCCACTAACGTTTGCAAATCAAAATGCTTACCTTCTTACGCAAACAGGTAACGTTACTACTCAATGAAGAATTTGTATCCTTTGTAAAGTTTGGAACGTGTTGTAAGTGGAAAAGTTGAAGGTTTGGGTAAACTCCATAGCGTACAATACTCTTTGGTAGCGTTCCACTATGCTGGCGGAAGTAAACATACCCTGCTTTGAGTTAGAACGCAAGTTGCGTGCCGTCACGTGAAAAGGGCCTATTTCCCCTAAAAAATCCTGTTAAACATTTTCTTACTAAATTTAAGAAGAATTTTATGTTACCTGCTCTTTTTACTCTTTGCAATTGGAAACTGTACCCCACGTCTTTTGGCACTGTAGTTTTGTTAAAAAAGTTGTGGTATGACCTCTTTTTGAAAATGTAATTTTGGGATATTTTATTCAGGATAATGTGAATAACGAAGCTTTTGTTATTAATTTGTTTATTCTTTTAGTTAAGTTTCACATTTCACTGTTTTACTGTGTTTTCTAAAGAATTGGAAAGTTACCTTTGTACTATTCAGAGTAGCGCTAGTAGAAAGGCTATTAAAACTGTCCGTTTATGTTCTCTCTCCAAAATATTTGAGTAATGTAAAGGTCTTTGCATGTTTTTGGGTGCAAATTTTATTTATTTTTTTGTTTATTTTTCTCTCTATTATTTTTTTCTTTCTTTCCTTTATTTCCCTGGCTTTATATTGTCTGTTGTTTTGTTCTATATATGTTGTTTAAAGCATTAAAAAATCCTTCTAAAAACATAATAATATGAACACTTATTACCTGATGCAGGGTAAGATTAAAAATAAAACACTTTGAAAGAAGGATTGATGATATATTAAAATAAATGTAGAATAAAAAGTTGCCTGAGTGTATTCTGATTAGTATTAGTAGTATTATATACAAACACACATTTTCTTTCATGTTCAGGAGATCATTGGGGGTCTGTGGCAAATAAATACATTATATACCTTCAGCCAAAGGCCCAAAATCCTCACTGCCTTCTGTTTAAAAACAGAGAAAACACAGTCAAGCAGAACCTCCTCCAGCATATATCTATATAGCCAATCTAAATGAAACCACCTTGTATGTCGACCATAAAAACAAAAACCCCATATCCCTCCACACACAGCAAGAGTCATCATCACAGCGCATACGGATGAATGGCTGTAATGCACACGGAGAGACAGTCAGTGAGTGAGGCAGGGAGGATTGTGGCACAGCAGGAATCGGTTCCTCTCCAGGTTTTGCAGGGTGTCGTGTCGTCTAGGGAACGCAGGGAGCACAGGCCTCATTAAATGTGCTGAAGAGACCCATCAGGAGCAGTTTTACAGAGCCGACCCATACCACTTTCTCATTACAAACCTTATCCTCCCCCAAGCACTCTGCTCACACAGCACAAACCATCCAATATCAAATCAAATCAGCCAGCAGGGAAATAACCCAGTAAAAACACACTCACGTCACACATTCACACACTCCCACTGACACACACACACACACACATACGGGTGCATACAGCATGTGAAGCACGTCCTATCTTCTTTTCACTGGCTGAGACTCAATGTAAACACACAGAGTGGCACAGAGATATGCACATAAACAAAATCATACCACATACAGTATAACGCATAGATAAATATATTAAACCTTATGGAAAGCGAGTAAATGTGCATCTTTTTTTTTCTTCGGTAAGAACATCTCTTTCAAAATGGAGGACTGTTTCCCTTAACCTCCCACATAGAGATGTGCTGAGCAGAGGTAAATGATGACTGACCACAGAGTACACACATCTCCACTCTGTTTGCTGAAGGTCTAGTCGACCGAGAAGCCATTATCATCAGTGTTTATACAAGCAGCTTTAAATGGTCTGATTCAGCAACATGAGCTTCATATCTTGTGTTTCTATAGAGGTTTAATATGTTTGTGAATGAATATTTTTATTAGCAAATGACACATGTATGTTTGTTGCAATACTAGAGAAAATAATTTGGTTTTCTTTTGAGTGAAAAACTATTGTCTGCAGTTCCTGTGGGGTACAGGGAGAAAACAGCTAAAGCAAATTCCTCTGCAGCTTTCTGTTCATTCAATATTGACACACCTGCCTTCAAAGACTATGTAACGTGAGTGAGTTGGATTAACAATGTTTACACAGTGCTAACATCCACACAAAATCTTGAAAGGCACATTCTGAACCATGTCCTTCCAAAAACACATATATGAAAGTGCTTTACACCATCCCTGCTGTGCAATAAGATGATAAAACAAAACATCAATAAAAAAGTGAAATAAAATAAAATTAAAAAGATTAAAATTGTAAGATTAAAAATTGAAATTGAATAAAACATAATATAATACAAAATAATAAAATGAAAAAAATAACACAATTCAAAGTAGCTAAATTAAATTAAGTTGTATTGGGTATTGGGTGACCAGATAAAACAAAACCAGTTAACGTAATAATCTCTATGTCAGATGTATTGTTATCCACTAGAGGGCGTACTCAGCCTAATTTCTATCCAGTCACGTGACGTGTCTAAAAGAATGGAATCATATCACGTTACAAAAACATCACAGTTGGACTCTTGATTCTTATAAAGGGGGTATAAACCAAAAGGCAGCATTTATGCCACTTTGTAGATTAAATGAGTACTACCACTCTAATATGTTACGTTTTCTGTCAAAAGATACAGTGTGGTAACGCGCTCATGTTTCGCCAGACAAAAGAAGTGTCCATTCACATTCCTCACAGTCGTTAAGCGCATTAAACAGGAAGAGATCAATTTGAACACGTGACACAGGTCCATCTAGCGGCCTCCAGAGGGCGCTGAAATCAATATTTGGGTTCTGTGGTTTGAACCGTACACCAAAGCTGTAACTTTACAGACATCGATTTGAAAGGAAAATTCTGTCACCATTTACTCACCAACCATGTTGTCCTGGTCTTCATTTGATCACAAAAGATGTAAGGCAGAATGGCAGTCCCAATCGCCATTCATTCACAGTAGAGAAAAAAATAGGCCTATAAGAAAAACAAAACAAAACAAATTATGATTATTTTGACATTGGACATTAAAAATGTGATTTATTGGACATTTGATATAAAAAATGTAACCGATTTATAGGTAGGCCTAATCTGAAACTGATGAAATCATTTGTGTTTCACAGTTATGACTGCATGCTATAGTAAAACCCTGGTGAATTGGTGAGGGTTGGATGATATTCTCTGCAGGCTGTACAGAGCTGAGTTCATATGAAAAGCAGACGTTTCCTCTCTCTCTCTCTGTGGAGATTTGACTCGCATGTCTTCTGGGGATTTCAGTGCGGTGTGGCCACAGATCCGCTATACTGAGGCAGTGAAAAACCACTCATCTAAGGGATTACACATCACATCTGATCACTAACACTGTCATCTCTAATCTAATGTAGTTATTAAACTGGAATACTGTCTTGCATTAGCACTTGCAGTATTAAGCGTTGTTAGTTGATATCACATATGGCCCAATAATATTTCTGAAAGAGTGAGATTACATGCCAAAACCACCTCTGAAATGAAATGAAATGAAGCACTTCTCAGAGCAAACATTAACTATATGTGAACGCATATCTTATAAATAAATATTTCCATTCTGCATATTTCCATAACACTAAACCATTCACAGCGCCCATTTCGATTTCACTTGAAGACAGCTGGGGGCCTTTGGATCAATCTACCAGATCATCACTGACAGGCCAACACACATCTGTGACCCAGGTAGTCTATAATATCTGTAGAAAGCTATGTTAGAATTCCCATTCATATCACATTCAGCTGCTAGCACATAACCCTTTTTCTTTGTTCATGGATGCTCAAACCTTCAGCCGATCACCTAAGCTCCAAATGCTGTGTAATTAATGTAAACAACGTGCCTCGAAATCATTTTATTCTGTCAGAATACATGGCTTTTTTGATGCATGTCAGATAATAAAGATAATTTATTCATGATACATCAAAGAGATTGGCTAACCAGTAAACAGCAGTGTTGCTGATGCTCTCTGCAAGAGCATACACTTGTTTATTTATGTTACAAAAATTATATTTTAAATTATTGCTGTTCTTTTGAACGTTCTATTGATTTTTTTAATCAGCATTTTAGAATGATTTAGAAGGATCATGTGACACTGAAGACGAGTAATGATCCTGATATTGCAGGAATAGACTACGTTTTAATATTATATATATACCAGTTATTTTGAATTGTAATAATATTTCACAATATTACTGTTTTTGACTATTAGTATTTTTGATCAAATAAAATGCTTAGAGAGCATGAGAAACTTCTCTTAAAACCAAAAAAACTCACCAACCCTAAACATTTGAATTGTAGTGTATCGCCTATATATGTTGAAATGTCACTCTCATTTTTTAGCATGCAACAGAAACAAGAAAGCAAAATAAATAAATAAATATAAAGTAACCGCTCCATACAAACGTTTTAAGGATCATCTTACATGCAGTACACTGCACACAAAGACAAAAGTCCCAGTGAAAACCACCAGTCCAACTGCTGAACAACAAGTGCTTCAGAGGAAGGTTGTGTGTGTATGTATTAAAATTTTTGCACAAGTCATGGTCTTTGAAAGAGTGACGTATTTTGTTTGAGGCAGTTTGTAGCAAGTAAACAACATATCCTTGAGCTCAAGTGTACTGCTTTATCCTAAGAGTTATGTCCATGAAAATATCTGTGGTCTACATATTGTATGGGCAGAAATCCAGACCAAGGTCAACGCATATGTTCTAAAAATTTCTTTAGCGTTGCCTTCACAACCTTTTCTTGAGACAAAAACGTATTGCTAGTCAGTTTATCTATTTGGTATCACTGATTTCTGCTTTAGTGAATAACAGGTTAAAAAAAGTTTTACAAAAGAGTTATAACTGCTCCCCATCAACCACTGCGTGACAAACATGGAGCTCCGCCCAAAATCTCATGACATTGGTTGAGGTGGAGGTTGACATGACGCTCAAAGAAACAGCCGCAAAGTTTACACGCTTCTGTAACATCAACCTTTTATAATGTTTTACAGTTGAATCAGCACAAAAGGCTTAGTAACCTTAAATCTTACAATTTAAAGTACGAACCAAAATAATTGATACATTTATTATTAATTTGTTAATAGAGAAAAAGATTCAGAGAAAAGAGTTCACGTTTTTTTTTCCAACTCCAACAATGTGCATGAATCTAACCCCATTCAATCTAACATCTACTCACCTACGAGCAACACCCCCTCCATTCATTTATT